CCGCAAAGGGCGTAGGTCTGGTTCTCGCCGGTGTAGCGGCCGTTCTCGTCAACCTTGCCGATGGAGATCTGGACGGAGGCGTGGTCGTTGGCCTTGATGATGCGGTTGGTGGCGCTGCACTTGCGGGGCACGTAGCTGGTTGAAGAGAGTTATGTTAGTTTGGCTCATCTTGAAATTATTATTTTTTTTTGCTTTTGGGGTCCATGTATGTGGTTTGGTTATTGGGAGAATTCGGATAAGTCTGGAGATTTGGAAGAATATGCTGCGCCTCCGACATAAAAGAAAGTTGAGAAAAAACAGTCGCTTGTACTGCGACGTGGTGAAATGTTTTCCCAATCGGTGGCGTCCTTTGTTCCATCGAGTTCGCAGTCATATTCAACTTCCTCTTGTTCATATCCGAAATTGTATCCCAAAACCAAAACCAAATCACAGGCTGGGTGGATTTATGGGCAGTGCAACGTACAGATCGACAATCTCTCCCTTTTCGTTCTCCATTTTGGCGGTTTATTAGTCTGGTTGACGACGGGGGAAAATTGGAGGTGCGCTGGCGGGTTGAACGGTCGTGAAATTCCGCGACTCTTTTGGGCGTTTCCTTAGTCGACGGTTGTGTGGGTCATGTGATCTTTTGTCGAGGGTTGAAGTGCTTGTGTGTGGCTGTGGTTGAGTGGCTGGTGGGACTTGGTGGCTATAGGGTTGCCTGTTTGGGTTTGGTACAGTACCTGTTTGGGCGGTGTACTGTGTAATGTATCTCCGGAGTATTCATGAAAGATTGTATTTATGTATGTATAAAGTATGTACTACATAGATAGCGTTGAGCGTTATCAATCAACCAATCAATCATAGACTGCTTCGCTCCTTATCCTCCGTAAAGACGTCTTTCTTCCACCGCACCTCCACTTGCAGGGCTGTTCCCTTTGCGAACTTCACCAGTACAACCCTGTCGGGCTCGCCCTGTCTATCCGTACCTTTCAGTTCAGGCCCGGGATGATCTAATGCAAGAACTGTTCGTCCATCGGACGACATCTTGAGCATCTTGGGGGATATGCACTTCTCTGTCCACGGGGGGTTACCCGTATGGACAAAATCAACCAGCTTTGCTCGTCGTCTTCCCAACTCGTCCACAGCATTGCCTGTCCGAGGCGCTTGATCCAGGAACTGTGACACCAGATGCAACAAGAGAATTTGTGGCGGAAACATAACAACTTCCCCACTGCCTGCCAGCCGGAGCCATTCAGATGCAGGTAGGAACCTAGCTTCGGTGACTTCAATACCGCCATCACTCGTAGGAATCTGGATTTCCTCCCGCTCTCCTTCGGCAGGAAGTTCGCTGAGGAGTGACTTGTCAGACTCAAGAGGCAAGGGCAAGAAGTACAAATACATCTGAGTAGAGTATCGCTTCGGTACATTTGTAGGAGTAATCCATCGTGTGAACGGAATCAATTGCTCTTGAGGGAGAATGGTTAGCAGAGGCTAGGGCTATACAACAAGGGGTGATTAAGTCTAGTTGGCGCTCGAACCTGTGTCTGGGACTGCGGCAGGATTCTGTTGCTTCAGCCACTCAGTGAAAGTCACTTCATTGCGATGAATTTTCTTTCTGCCTTCTTCTCTTTTGTGCTCTGGGACTGCTAACATCTTCCCGGAATTCCGATCCTTAGCGAGGAGAATACCACTTTCTTCGAAGAGCTCTCGAAGAGCGGCATTCCTATACCATATGGCATCATCATGCCTTTTTGGATCCTCTACTGGTGGACACTTTCCATCTTGATCAGACAGGTTCCCCCCTGGAAAGACATGAGCTGATGCAAATGACGTTGACGTTTTGACGCGATGAAGCAAAAGTACTTCATTTTTAGGTGAGATCAGTACTACACTAAGTTTTCATTAGCTATCAGCCCTTGCAAAGGCATAGTTACATATAGCGATATCCGGATTTATAGGCGTCCTGAGGATGATAGAACGGCTAACCAACCTTGAACTCGGCCTCGGGATTGACGGTTTGGGTTTCGGCTTGAGGCCACCCTTCTGCGATGCCATCTTTGCGGATGCAGAAGTGCTTTGAGCTGTTGTAATGGACGAATTTTCTCTTACAGCACGCTTTCCGATATACTGGTTATTTGTAGGTCGGTGTTGTATTACCAGTAATGGGGATCGAGCAAGAGTCAGCCGATGATGGAGACACTTGTGTATTAACCGGGGCATTGACACATGAGGAGTCATCATGGCTGAAGCAGCCGAGGTGTACCGGGAGAGCTTGCTTTTCAAGGGAGGGACGTGAATAATGATTGACTATGGCTGTAATACTAGTATTAGTACTTAACCGGTCACCAGGGAGTAGTGCTAGGAGTAGTGCCACTAGCCTAGGCTAATGCATTGCTGTGAGTGCTTACCCCTCCCGTAACGCGACCGCTTCAGGCCTAGACGATCGCCAGTTTTACGACTTCCACCGAGGGCTAGCTACTCCGTACTACGCCTACAAAGTAATTTCAAGTACGATAATGTAGATGTTTATCGACATGGAGTACAATCGACTCCACTGTGAAATGAATTGGTGAATGTAATAATCTTGAACAACAAGAAAGCAATATCCACGCATCGAACTCCAGAACCTCATACCCATCCATACTTTTTTCCATTTATTTTGTTTCATGCAAGCCATGCGTCATCATGTAAATACATCCTGTGCATCAGGATAGCTCATAATGATTATATTAACCGTGTCGGTTTAAGAGTAGAGCTTCTTATCGAAGCTGTGCAGACCGTGGACATTACCCTCGGCCATGGCACTGGCGCTTCTCATTTCAAATCGGACGGTGCCCTTGTTAACACCCTCGTGGAGAGCCTCAAGACTCTGCACACCGATATCCTGCAGAGAGTGCTGCACACCGGCGACAAGGTAAGGAACGAACTTGGTGACAGAGCCACGGTCAAGGACAGAGCCCGCAACACCCTGAGCAACAAGGACGCGGTCCTTCTCAGAGAAGTAACGAGCAGTACCGGCGTTGCTAGCCTTGCTATCCTTGGCGCCGGCGCCAGCCTTCTTGTCCTCCATGGCAGCGATACTGCCCATACCACGGTAAGCCTTGACAAGCTGGCCCTCGTTGCTGACGAAGTACTCGCCGGGAGACTCAGTGGTACCGGCAAGGAGACCACCCATCATGACAGTCGAGGCGCCCATTGCAAGACCCTTGACAATGTGACCGACATTCTGAACACCACCATCAGCGATCGTGGGAACACCGAAGCGAGCAGCGAAAGAAGAAACGCTGCGGACAGAGATAGCCTGAGGACGACCGACGGCCATGACTTCCTGGGTGATACAAGCACTGCCGCTGCCCATGCCAATTCTCAGGCCATCGGCACCGGCTGCAATCAAAGGAGCAGCTTGCTCCCGGGTCACAACGTTACCAGCAATGACATCAATATCAGGGTGAGTCTTCTTGATGTACTTGATCATCTCGATCTGGTACATACTGTTGCCCTGGCTGCTATCCAGAACAACAATGTCAAGGCCAGCATCAGCAAGCAGCTGAAGTCTGCGCTTATCTTCTTCACGGGTACCGATCGCAGCAGCGCAGATCAATTGCTTGGAGTGAGGAAGCTTAGACGCAAGAGGGTAGTGAAGGTTCTTCATCAAATCGCTGCGAGACAGCAGAGAGACCAGGTTACCATCCTTATCCACGATAGGAAGCTTTCCCTTCTTCGAGGAACGGAGGACTTCGTTGGCCTCGGCCAGAGTGGTACCGGCGGGGGCCGTGACAAGGTCAGTGGACATGATAGCAGTGACTGGATCCTCGAGGTTGGGGTGGAACTGAATGTCCCTGGAGGTGACAATTCCAACGAGCTTAGACCGAAGGTTTCCGCTTTCTGTGGACACATCAAAGTTAGACTGTGCTATTTTCAAACAAGTTTCATGATGACGACTCGGGAAAATATGAATATCAGATAAATCTGTTTCTCTACAACGCAACTCTCGTCGCTCCAGTGGAACGAAAGTTATAATGAAGATAGATGAAAATCATCACAGAAAATATTGCAGGGCTGATGCACACGATAAAAGGAAGAATGGATGCTTACCGGTAACAGGGAAGCCACCAAAACCCCATTTGCTCTTGAGCTCCTTGGCTTCTCCGACAGTAGCCTTAGGAGAAAGAACAACGGGGTCCAAGATGAAGCCGTTCTCATAACGCTTCACCTTCCTCACCATCTCCGCCTGGTCCTCAGGAGAGCAGTTGTGGTGAATTATACCAAGACCACCCAGAAGAGCCATGTGGATCGCCATGTTGTGTTCGGTGACGGTATCCATGGGAGAAGAGAGGAGAGGGGCCTTCAAAGAGACACGCTTGGTGACCGGGGTGTCCAAAGTGACATCTGACGCAGGGAAGCCTGTCATAGACATGAATAACTGGAAGTTATGGACGGTTCAGAAATCGTCCTTACCGATGTAACCAGGCAAGATAAGGAAGTCATTGTAAGTCAATGCTCCGTGCTTGTCCGAATCGAGCAAGGTATCAACATCAAGACCATCTCTGGAGGTATAATCCTTCTCCAGAACTTCGAGGGCCTTGGTGTGGTCCTGGATCTCAGCCTTCATGGCGCGGCCGAGGGCATCACCGTTAGAGATGGGCATTTTGAAAGAAATAAGGTTCTACGGTTTGAATGGTAACACGTAGAGATCAAATAGAGATGATAGATAATCAACAGATCGTGACAAACGTTCTGTTGATGGAGAAAGTCTTCCTTTCCCAAAGGAAAGAAAGAAGGAAAAAAGAAGAAAAACTGGAGGAGCAAAAAATTGGCTTTTGTATCTTTGCCGCACAAGCTAACGATTCTTTTAGAAAATTCCGGAACAGGGTTAGCGGACCCACCCGGCCCCTTTAATATTAGGCTGATTGGCTGATAAACGAAATCTCTTCCAAAGCGGTGAGAGGAGGGGTGGCATTGGATCTGCTGAGGTAAGCTGTACTTAATCACTGAAATTTCTTGTCATTGTCCCAAAGCGGTATAGATCGTGTGCGTCTAACCTCGCGTGAGAGTCTAAAGATCCCAGAGCCATCACTAGCTGCATCTTATTAGATAAATAAGAATCGAGCTGGTTTTCTACTAGTCCTACTGGTAGTTATACTTGACGTTAATACTTCGACTTCCAGTATTACCAATCCTAGTGCCTCAAATGTACTCCAGAGTCTTTGAATGAAACCCCCATTTAGCGAGTGTAGATATGTACACCCTACTAGACCCCTTATTATGGATTTGTTTCTTGTCAAACCTTTGACGTGGTCATATTCTGTGGACCGTCTTCATGAATTGATAATAAGCGAATCACCGTCGTCCTTAGTTCAATCATACCCCTGAGGCTTCCTTCGTCTTTTGAGCCTTAGTCACCCAGGGGGTAACAGTGCAATATTTGACCATCTGTACATACTAGTGAGCAGATGCGCTTGCAAAACTAGCCTATTTCCGAGAGATGTCGACTGTACATACAATAAAGAGAAGCGTCTGAACTCGCTAGGAAGACGAAACTAGTTGCGACTTCGCTTGGCTGGCCAGGGCGACCGATAGAAGACCCAGCGCCAAAGTCTTCCATTTCCTCTGGCGCTCTTGTGTCGACCTGGATAGGCGTATAGACGGGGCCAGGCCTATGGGGGAAATGTGAGATCCTTCTCTCTTCAAAAAGGGAAATGGAATAGCAATGTATAACTTACGCTACAGCGTTGACCCGAATACCCTTTGGCATCAGCTGCTTTGCCAGTGACCTTGTAAATCCCACTATAGCACCTTTCGTCGCTGCGTAGTCGACCATACCACTTGTGCCTCTAAATGTCACTGTGGAGGTAGTATTTATAATGCTGAGGATGCTTGGTGAGTTTGAGGCGATCCATATCGCAAAGGCTGCATGTACTTACGAATCTCCTCGTGATAGATGCGGCAAAGCGAATTTTGACAGGGCGAACATCTGGATAATGTTGGTTTGAAATACATGTTCAACTTGATCAAGATCAATCTGTGCCAGATCCTTGCACATGTACTGCTTCGAAGCATTATTGACAAGAACATTCAATTTCTTGAACCTGCCATATGAAAGTTAGAGTGCACAGCATTGGTGGTAGAGGCGGCAGTCCTTAGGCTCGTATCTTATAGACTCCCTCTGATAGGAGAGACATACCTTTTCATATGCTCCTCGACAGCCTGACGACATGTCTCTCGATTAGACAAATCCCCCGGAAACAGAAGGCATGTTCTTTTCTCGGCCTCAACCAGTTTCTTCGTCTCCTCGGCATCCTCCTGCTCTTCAGGCAGATACGAGATAGTGACATCCGCCCCTTCTCTCGCCATGAGTGCGGCAACTGAACGTCCGATTCCGGAGCTAAGCTGTCATCAGCAGTAATATGTGTATCGTGAACAGGCCAGTCCATACTCTCCGCCGGTAATAAGGACCTTTTTATCCTTCAGTTTACCAGAACCCACGTACTCAACGAAAGTCCCGCTTGACTCCAGCTTAGTCGCTTCACTTGACGGTGTCATTTGTTTTTCAAGTCTTGGATGTTTAGCCTCATGTGCATCTTTTGTTCAAGACACAGAAACTCTTTTTATGTAACTAACCCTGGCTTCTGTTGAGCCTGTGGCTCCTGCGGTGCTTGAAAAGTTCCTTCCTTGCCCATTGCAGATGCCATGGTAGCTAAGGTGATGCTGTCTTATAAATTCGTAAGGTGTTATATTATGTTCTTGTAAAGTTATAAGAATGACAAAAGATACGTAGGAGAATTGTACGACATGAAAGCATTACACACAAATATATATAGCAGTGCTTTTGATTGCGGTCATAATGGCGTCATGATGTTGCAATAACCACGCTGTATGGATATCACTACTAGAATGCTATGTTAGTGAAACACTGGTAAACGGACCCAAATGCAAATAAGCTATCAAAGAAAATCTCATTGTTCCACCGGGAAGACGCATATTAAATTTGCTAGGTTCAAGATGTCTCAATTTGCCCTGAGATTGGCTAGAACTCCAATTCTTCATTTGGGAAATCTAACTAGTTTCGTCACCCAGGGCTCAGCTAGATAAAAGTGTGCTTTAGGTCTCAATTTCTGATCGTTAAGGTACGCTTCCAGTATGTATAATGTATGCTACCCATTGCATCCTCATTGCCATAGGAAGCTGATGAAACAAGGAGAAGTTGGATTTGTTTCTGCAATGTAGCAAGCTCCAGTAGCTTGAATTACCCCTTTAAAACACAAGCCATGGTGTCGCTTGTGAAAGAGCATTGTCCCATCCATTATCATTGAACCAAATGGCGATGCTCTCCACCTCATCCTTCCCCAACTTGAGATCATTGTATAGATGCTGTGACTGGAGTCAACAAACATTATTTGCCAAGTACAATGCAAGAAAGAACCAGGAATGGCAATCGTTGCGGGTTGGGCTTACCGGGAACAAGCCCTCTTTCGGTCTCGGCCCGCATACGGTGCCCTCGGGGTTTTCCCAACGGAGATGCTCGGCTACACGCGCGTACGGAATCCGGAGAACATAAACAAGGGGTTCATCTTTAAAGAATAACTTCAGCGTGTTCGGCACCTGAAATGCGGTGGAGAGGTGAATGAAACCTGACTGTTGGTCGAGCGCACTGACGGGGAGTTGCTCCGGGAGCGGTTCTCGGACGGGCGCGGTGGACGGTACAAGTTTATAGACATAATAAGGCTCTTTGTCCGTCATTTTTTCTGGTTATCTGTTGACTTGCAAGTCCAGAGGCAAGTGATACGTAGATGAATCGTAGGATGTTGTTTACCCGTTGAGAATAAATATTGGGGGACTGTCCAGCGATCTAAAATGATAAGATCGGCAGCGAGTTAGTGGAACCGCTAAGTTATGATTCAATCAGTCTTACCTAAGTGGAGGATAATTAACTCATTACTTCCCACGGTTCGGCTATAGCCTTTAAAGAGTAGAGACTTCCTGAGTCACCTGAGTGTGGTAAATTCCTGGATCAGTTGATGGTTTGATTTGGAGTGTGATTGGCTAGGACAATCAGCGTGCTCGTTAGGGTACCATGGAAGTCGCTCCTGGTAAAGCATAGCAAGCAACCTTATGGAGTACCTTGGGCTTACTAGTACTATATACCAAGCCGTGCTAAGTTGCCCACAACCCCTGGGAAATCATTGATCTTCCATCTTGACCCCAAGGTTGTTATGTAGGTATCACGGCATCGTCCAGACATTGAGCGGGAGGAGTATCCAAACTAGTGTATACTGTACACATATGTTGTGATATCAAATACAATTCCAGGTTTACTCCGTACAGTTGTGATTATAAGGGAGCCCAGGTTGAGTTACAATCTGACATGTGATGAGTCCTGTCCACGTTCATCGTCCTGCATAAATGGCGAAAAGAAATTACCGGGGGGTCAGTGATGGGCTGGCAGGAAGCGTGGCTCGATGATAGACTCCCATGTGTATATAGCCTTCTACAGAGTAGAACTTTGATCTATATTCAATCAATTGTCCTTAATAAGTCTATGCGGATCAAGCGAGACGTACTATTCAAGACAATATTTGTGCTAACTTGCCAGTGGTTCCTTTGATCTGGTTTTCTCTTTTCGTACCTGAAGGGTCAGATGGTGGCACATGAGCCGATCGGTGGCTGGTATGATCGACGTCACCGGATAGGGAACTGTGGCGTATCACCCTGGAGCGCCAACCATACCCGATCGGGAGATTTGTTTTGGTGTCGCTGGGGCTAGGAAGCACTTTCCACTTGGTTTACTTTCCCTCACTCCCCGCTTCTCCATCACCACCACGGTACCACCACCATCAATCGTCAGTTCAATTATTGACCTTGCGACAAAAAATAAATTTAGTGGGAAGTCGTGAGTTTTGTCGGGTTAATCATACCTGCAAGTCTTAGCCCACGTTTCTTGTGGCGTACTTCACTTTCACCTTCTCTTTTGCGATTGCCCTTCCAATCAGGTACCGTCAGGAACGCAGAGAAATCCATCCCGTTTCTGTATCAACCCGGCTCCCCTTCCCAATTCTTTCCGTTTCCATAGGGCCATGCTGTTCCTCCCTTGAATTAGCATTCCATCTTGTTTAACTCAACAACCGATCACTCGGCCAGATTGCTGCTTCGGTTGAGAGGCAGGTATGCGGCCAATTGAAGCCGAGACTGCTCTATTTTCTTTGGGTTTTGCATTCTTCAGTACGAAGCGGCACCAGTGATGTCAAGCCACTCAGCCTCTCTCCGACGTACCCAGACGGATTTTCCCACCCAAACATCGAGTCCACTTCGCCATGGCTCAACCGCATCGACAAACTCGTCTGTATACTCGATATCGACTGATTCGCTAGCTCCTAGCCGCACGAGCACAGTGTCCTCCACGGGATCCATGGGCTTCACACCTAGCTTTGGTCATAAACGTGGAAAGAGTGAAGTAAACACCATGAGTGCCGACAGATTCAAGGCGGATCCGAGCCGTTGGTCGAATGCCGGGACAACATACGAGAGCGTCCGACGCTCGCTACGACCGCTCTCTCAAGCACCAAACGCCTCCCCTCCCGCAGTTAAGCAAGTCACCTACGGCCACTCGAGAAGCCGGACGATAGACAATCCCCAATTCTGGAAAGAGAATCGCCCTCAAACCCCTGAGCGCCGCAATGGCTATTATGGAGAAACTGAACCGCTGAAGGAGATTGAGTCGCATGGTGTGTATGCACCTCCGTCTCCTAAGTCGCCACATGATCTCAGTCCTCTTGCTGTTTCGCCTCAAACGAGGTCCCCGATCAGAACACAACATTCTCATAGCTTGTCCACGCCACAGCCACCTCCATTGACCACCGCATTGTCTACACCTGAACTCGAAACCTTCCAAAAGTCGTCAACTGGACATCTGCGCACATTATCCAAGTTCGCGCAGTCGGGCGAAACGGAGGAGTTTGCCCTAGTCAGCCCTTCTGTAGTGGGCCTACTGGGACGACGGCGGTTGAAGCGTACTGATTCAGTGGCCTGTTCGGGTAGCGCGAATGTTAATCGAAGAAAAAATGCGTCATCATGGGCTGCCGGGAACTGGATGGACAAGCAACGGCAATTCTTGCAGGCCTATGAGTATTTATGTCATATCGGAGAAGCCAAGGAGTGGATTGAAGAAGTCATTCACAAGCAAATCCCGCCCATTGTTCAACTGGAAGAAGCCCTCCGAGACGGCGTAACGCTCGCAGAAGTGGTTCAAGCAATGTATCCGAATCGCACGCTACGAATTTTCAGACACCCCAAACTGCAGTATCGACATTCAGATAATATAGCACTATTCTTCCGATTCCTAGACGAAGTCGAACTACCGGAGCTTTTCAGATTTGAGCTGATTGATCTATACGAAAAGAAGAATATCCCCAAAGTCATTCACTGTGTCCACGCTCTATCGTGGTTGTTGTTCAAAAAGGGTCTTGTTGACTTCCGGATGGGCAACCTCGTTGGTCAGCTAGAGTTCGAGCATCACGAACTTGAACAGACGCAGAAAGGTCTCGACAAGGCAGGAGTCAGCATGCCTAGCTTCAGCGGCATGGCCGCGAATTTTGGGGCCGAACCAGAACCAGAACCGGAACCCGAGCCCGAGCCTGAGGAGGATCGAATTGAGCGAGAGTTACATGAAAATGAAGCTTCGATTGCCGACTTCCAGGCTCAGATTAAAGGCGCTATGCAGCGACTGAAGCTGGGAAATCTAATGAATGACCTGTGGGACTTTGAACCTCTGCTTATCGATCTGCAGTCAAGGATAAGAGGAGATTGGGCCCGCCAAATCGTCCAATATCGCCTAGACATGCGTGCGTTTGCAGTAAATCTTCAAGCAATATGTCGGGGTTTTATTGTACGATCCCGTGAGAAAGATGAGAAGGAAAGTTGCCGGGCTCAGGAGCATGGTATACTGCAGCTGCAGACACTTATAAGAGCCTCCAAGGCGAGAGCCCACGTGCAATATCTTCAAAGCCAAATGCGCAAGGAAGAATCGGAGATTAAAGAGATACAAGCTGCCATCCGCGGAGCCTTGCAACGCAAGTCTGTTAGCGCTCTTTACTGCCACACCAGAGACGCAGAGGATCACGTTCGGTTGTTACAGGCTGCCATCCGCGGAGCGTTGCAACGCAAGAATGTAAGCGCTCTGTATTACGATACCAGGGGTGCGGAAGACCAAGTTCGGTTATTGCAGAGTGCCATCCGCGGAGCGTTGCAACGTAAGAATGTAAGCGCTCTTTATTCCGATATCAGGGATGCGGAAGACCAAGTTCGGTTACTGCAGAGTGCCATCCGAGGTGGCCTGCTACGCCACAAGCTTTCAAGGCAATGCGAAGAGACGAAATCTGCTGAAGATGCCATTAGAGACCTCCAGTCTCTCATTCGAGGCTCTTTCATACGACGGCAGATGAGTGTTCAATATGCCGATATGGACGGCGTTCAAGGAAATGTGGAATTGCTGCAGGCAGCGATCCGAGGCTCGCTGGCTCGAAATGCTTTATCTCAAATGAGAGACCTGCTTGCTCACGAGGTCCCTTCAATTACAGCTATCCAATCAGGGGCGAGAGCCTTGGCAGTCAGAAAGCAGCAGTTACGGCTTGCAGAAGCCCTCGGAAAGGCAGAAGAGCGATTTATCACGTTGCAGGCCATGGCTCGTGGCAACGCCGTAAGGGAACGGCTTGATTGTCTGCGCGAGGAGTTGGTGGAGCATGTATCATTGCTTATCAGTCTTCAAAGCATACTCCGAGGGAGAGCTACCCGGTCCTTCTTAGCCTCTCAACAGAAGGCACTGAGGGATGAGGAAGTGCAAATCCTTGAGTTGCAGTCGATGGCTAGGGGTTCTCTTGTGAGAAGACGCCTGGAAGCTGATGCTGAAGCACTGCAGGCAGAGGAACTTACTATTATCGACCTGCAGGCCCTCGCCCGAGCTGCCGTGCTGAGGATTGAGGTTGGTGGTATACTTGAGCAACTCGATGACTGCGAGGATGAAGTCAGTCAGCTACAGGCACACATAAGAGCGATGCTTGTTCGAGTAGAAGTCGGACAATCATTGGCCGATCTCGCTGCCGAAGAAGATGTTATTACAGATCTCCAGTCACATTTACGAGGACACATCATACGATCAAAATTTGAGGAGAAGCGTCGATACTACCGGAAAAACATGGAGAAAGTTATTAAGGCCCAAAGCTTTGTACGAGGTAGGATTCAAGGCCAGGCATACAAGAGTCTCACAAGTGGGAAAAATCCACCCGTCGGAACAGTCAAAGGCTTTGTACATCTGCTGAACGATAGCGAATTCGATTTCGACGAAGAGATTGAATTTGAGCGGATGAGGAAGCTGGTAGTTCAGCAAGTTCGTCAGAACGAGCTGGCAGAACAATATATCAGCCAGCTTGACATCAAGATTGCTCTCCTGGTGAGAAACAAAATTACACTCGATGAGGTCATCAAGCACCAGAAGCACTTCGGTGGCCATGTTGGAAATCTGTTGCCGAACAGAGAAATCGCATCAAAGGATCCCTTCGATCTGAAAGCCTTGAACAAAACATCCAGAAGGAAACTTGAGCAGTATCAAGTCTTCTTCTTCCTTCTCCAGACGCAATCTCAGTACCTTGCCAAACTTTTCCGAAGGTTGCGTGAGCTTAATACATCAGAAAAGGAATACGAGAAGACTCGACACTTGATGATGGGTCTCTTTGGGTATTCACAAAAGAGGCGCGAGGAGTATTACCTGATCAAACTGCTGGCTCGCTCTGCACGTGAAGAAATTGAGAGTTTTGACTCCCTCCACGATTACCTACGTTGCAATTCTTTCTGGACTAAGCTCTTCGCATCTTACATGAAGTCTCCACGTGACAGAAAGTTCATGCGCGATGTATTGGGTACTGTTGTGAAAGAGAACGTTATTAACAACCCGGAATTGGACTTGGAAAGTGATCCTATACAGATCTACCGCTCGGCCATCAATAACGAAGAGCTCCGCACAGGGAAACAGAGTCGTCGGCGCTTAGACATACCGCGCGAAGAAGCTATTAGGGACCCTGAGACAAGAGCAACCTTTATCCAACACTTACAGGATCTCCGCGACATTGCCGATCAGTTCTTCACTGCGTTCGAGGAATTTCTATACCGTATGCCTTTTGGAATTCGGTATATCGCGAAAGAGATGTACGAAAGCCTCCTTTCGCGATTTGCTGGAGATGATCCGGGCTTTATCCTTCAGACGACTGGACATTGGGTATGGAAGAATTACTTCCAGCCGGCGCTTGTTGAACCCGAAAGACATGGCGTTGTTGATCGCGGCCTGACACAGGAGCAAAAGCGAAACCTCTCTGAGATCGCGAAAGTGATTGCTCAGGTGGCATCAGGGAGACTTTTCGGCGACAAAAATGTCTATCTTAAACCGTTGAATAGCTACATTGGTGATTCGATCCAACGCCTTGGCCACATTTGGGGCGACAGTAAGCAATCGATCCCTTTAATCCAGTGTCATGGAAGCTAACTTTTCCGCAGTGATCTCCGTACAAGACGCTGAAGCGTATTTTGATATTGATGAATTCAATGATCTCTATGCTAAAACGAAACCGACATTATACATCAAGTTATCCGATATCTTCTCTATTCATCACCTTGTGGCATCGGAAATACATTATATTTGCCCTAACGCCGATGACATTCTAAAGGAGGTTATCCGCGATCTTGGGAACGTTAAATCCAATGAAAATGAATTGATGAGTGTGAACACCTCAGAGATCAGCCTTACCCTGAACCCCAAGCTTGCACAGGTTGAAGGTAGGAAACCGTGTCCGCCAATCGTCTCGAGGCTAGTACTAACAAAATGAATATAGATCCGGAGGCTGATGTGAAGGCATTGTTTATGGAAACAAAACGATGCATCCTCTATATCATACGTGTTCAGTCAGGGGCTAACCTGATGGAAATTATGGTCAAGCCCCCAACTGAGGAAGACGAAGAAAAGTGGATGACACTGGTCCGGGACGAGCTAAGTGCGAACAACACGAGAAGGGGCGCGTACTCTGAGGCGCATACAATGGTGGATATTGCGTCCATGACCTACTCGGAGCTGAAACGGACTGCACTCGAAAACATCCTTCAGCTTGAACAAACTGGGAAGATTCGTCGAGACAACCACTACCAGGATTTGTTAAATGCCATTGCCATCGATATCCGAACTAAGCATCGTCGCAGAATCCAGCGAGAGAGAGAACTGGAAAGTGCTCGTTCAACACTGGCCCGTCTCAATGATCAAGCCGCCTGGTTAGAGCAGCAGTTCAAGACATACAACGACTATATTGAGCAGGCAATGGTGACATTGCAGAATAAAAAGGGGAAGAAACGATTCCTCCTGCCATTTACGAAGCAGTGGGATCACCAACGCGAGCTCCAGAAATCAGGAAAGGTGTTCAAGTTTGGTTCCTACAAGTACTCCGCTCGTAACCTGGCGGACAAGGGTGTCTTAGTTCACTGGAAGGGCTATACAGAACGCCAGTGGGACCGGGTCGACCTGACCATTTCCAGCAACGAAGTTGGTGTGTTCACTATTGATGGCAGTAGTGGCCCAATGATGGTTCCTGGAGCGAACGCACAGGTGCCATTGGATGACTTGCTGCAAGCCCAGTTCAACAACATGCAGTTTCTGGACTTCTTCGACGGGCAATTACGAGTCAATGTCAACCTCTTCCTGCATTTGATCATGAGGAAATTCTATAACGAATGATCTTCATGTGGGGTGCAGCTCTCATTTCTGTTCTTTTTTTTTCTCTTCACTCTCGTTTCTCTCTCTCAATCCGTTTTCTTTTTCTTTTTCTTTTTCTTTTTTTCTCCCTACTTTTCTGATTTGCGCCTATGATATCCCCTTTCCTATTGATGATATGTCACGCATGAAAAAGAAAAGGCATATTCGGCATGACGTATAAACAAAGCACAACATGCAGGATTCGAGCCAATTCTTCCTGTGTTATGTCCCTTCGATGATAACCCATTGTCTGTTGTCATTATGCCCTGACTGTCCTGAGATGATTACCCTCTACATTACACGTTACCCCTGTTATGACGATTATGCAGACGATTTTATGTATGTATTTGAGTAGTGTTTAGTACATGAGGATATGTATTTTGATTGTAATCAAAATAGCCAGTAAATACATATCTAGCAGTAGGAGTCCGTCTGTTAATCAAGCTGTAACAAATACTATGATGTCGACGTCTCCTTTGTCCTGGAGCTCAGGGGCTGCCACGTGATCTGGTGGTTGTCTTGGAGCCCAACGGCGTTGCCAAGTAGATTGATTTCCTCGACTCCCGCATCATCCAACCCTCTACGGATTTTCTACTCTTGTCCCTCTATATTCTTGATCCGATAAATAGTACGCAATATCGTACTCGTGCTGATCGCGTGATGGATTTGTCCAATCTCAAGGAGCAAGTCAGCAACCTGACCTTGTATGACCTCAAGGCGGGAGTCCGCAAGGTCCAGAATGGTAAGGCCCGCATCATGCCCCCCCGATATAACTGATACACGTGCCTCCCATTGCCGCGCGATACTACACTGCAGCAAATATACTAACGGCCATAGCTGTCATGAATTATACTGAGATGGAGGCCAAGGTATGTGCCACCATTCCCAAGCTCCGTCCTCCGCCGATCCTCTATAGAACTATACATATATGCATGTGGAATGGCTTTCGACTGCAATCGCTTATGCTCAGTAGGTCCGAGAAGCTACCAACAATGAGCCTTGGGGTGCCTCAACCACGTTGATGCAAGAAATTGCCAACGGAACTCACAGCTAGTCAGTCAATAACTTGTCCGTTAATACAATTACCCGGTTGCTAACCAATGTACCGGGGAGTGCAGCCAACTACTGAATGAAATCATGCCGATGATTTACAGACGCTTTACCGACAAGACTGCAGAGGAGTGGCGACAGATCTATAAGGTAGGGCTTATCCGGCAAATTAGCGAACTATAGGATGTGTCTGATATGATTATCCTTGAACGTGCAGGGGCTTCAACTTCTGGAATTCTTAGTTAAAAACGGATCGGAACGAGTTGTCGATGATGCGCGGTCTCACATGTCCCTTCTCCGAATGCTCCGCCAGTTCCACTACATCGATCAGAACGGGAAGGATCAAGGCATCAACGTGCGCAACCGATCATCGGAGTTGGTGAAGCTTCTCGGTGATGTGGATCAGATTCGTGCGGAAAGAAAGAAGGCCAAAACTAATCGCAATAAGTTCGGTGGCTTTGAGGGTGGGTCGCATATTGGAGGAGGGATGTCAAACTCCAGGTACGGGGGCTTTGGGAGTGACAGCATGTCGTTTGGCGGGTACAGCGGGGGTGTCTACGGTGATGGAGGTGGGTTCGGCGGCAACACAAGTGACTTCCAGGACACCGGGCGACGAGGCAACCGATTTGAAGAATACGATGAGTATGATGAAGCAGATGCCAGTCCGCCGGTACGACGTGCAGCAAGCCCGCCTCGTGCTCGGTCGACAAAGCAGCCGGAACCGCCAAAACCCAAAGCACCTGAGCCGGACCTGTTTGACTTTGGAGAGGAGGAGGTGGTTACAACGACCTCTACCAGCGCCGGCAAGAAGCCTGCAGGCAGTAACGGCTTGGATGTGCTCGATTCCAAACCCATCGATGACGATGACTTCGATGATTTCCAATCTGCTACTCCCGCACCTGCACCGGCAGCATCGAACCAATTCTCTATTTCTCCACCAGCGAATACTGTGAGCACCACCTCAAGCACTCAGTTTGCTGCGCCGAAGCCGGTTTCCGCTACGCAAGGAACCAATCTGAACGGTCTCGTTGGGTTTACTTCGATGACTCCGACTCCTACTTCAAGTACAATGGCATCCCCAACACTATCGCAGAGCTCTATGGTGCAGCCACAGCAACAGAAGCCGGCGCAACCGAAGCCAACAGGATTCCAGGCCGCAACACCGAATTACTTCACCTCTGTTTCCGTCATGCAGCCTCAGGCGGGAGTGTCTAACCACCGACCAGGCATGGCGTCCACCTCATCTTTTACATCTGCCACGTCGAGCTCGGCTGCAGCACCTAAACCGGCCGCATCGAAGTCCTCGAACGGCGACGTCTTCGGATCTCTGTGGTCGAGTGCCAGTGCCAGTGCAGGGCTGCAGAAGTCGAATGCAAATGCAAGCAAAGGGCCTAACCTGGCAAGCATGGCCAAGGAGAAGGCGAGTGCGGGCATCTGGGGGGCACCCGCAACGCCCGGCCTTGCATCCCCGTCTCCTTCTCAACCCTCTCAGCAAGGGACCAAGACCAGCAGCTCCGGACTGGATGACTTACTGGGTTAATCTGTCACTCTGTGTGTTTTCTACAGTTTTTTTCTTTCTTCTTTTTTGTCCCCTCAAGTTATATCTCTTTTGTGCTGAGCAATATTTGCAATATTATTGCAATTTGACTGTTCTTCATTCGCATTTCAAGCAACGAATCATTGGTAGCAGACGATGCCAGACCATCCCTCCTCGATCTCATGTTTCAGGTTCTGTATATCCGGATGGTCACGATAGCTCTTTCATTCTTTACATGGAGTCGAGGCTCGGGAAAATATGATCTTTTTGTTGGATTCCGTCAGATCCAAGGTTATCTCGGCAAAAAAAAATTGTTCCTACACGATGAATGTTTCTAGGCCGTTAGATGGCGTTCTATCCCAGCCCAACCACAGACTCTTTTCAAGCAAAGCAACTTTAACACGGGTTGGATAAGGCAAAAGGGGAAGGAAGAAAAGTGTAATAGAGTAAAACCTTGTTCGTAAAAATGCAAAATCACATCAACCCCTCGGAAAATATTCCCTGCCCCTAATTTCCTCTCCGCCATTAACAGTCAACCCGCCCCGACAATCCTCGTATTCATCCTACCCATTCTCGATGATCAACATCCGCCAAGGCACCCATCAGTCTGAGCGACCAGCGAACACGGTGGAGAATGCGATTGGGTTCTCTGTCGATCAGTGCTCTTAGTATTGTGGTTATGGATACAGTCCCTAGGTCTAGCCAATTGTTGGTGTGGCCGGGACCACTAACCCTAAGGTTAACATTTTTAGGGGTCGTATCTTGCGAGTCATAGTCACTTTGGTCTGGAAGGGTTTAGGTTGAGGCTATAGTATTGTCTGGTACTCTATGGAAGGGGTGGGTTTTGTTTTTACGAGAAGGTTAAGGTGCGCGTGGATGTTTTTGGGTTGCATGTCAAACTCTCCATCCGTATATGAAGAAGTCTATCTGTGTCTCTGTGTTAAGGGGGGTGGATTTTTCGAGTCCTTCTTTTCTCTTCTTCTTCTTCTTCTTTTTTTTTTTTTTTTTTTCTTTTCTTTTTTTTTTTTTTTTTTTTTTTTTTTCTCTCTCTCTCTCTCTCTCTCTCTCTCGTTTCCTCTTTCCTCACATCTGTATCAAACTTGACTCGGTATAGTTCTTAATCCCCACAATATGTACATCGATACCCTTTTCCCAGACGGGGTTTATCACGCTCTTCTCCCCCGACAAACCTACTCTTCCTGTTGGGGAGGCGTGGGACAAGGAGAATGTCGCGGCTCATCTAACTGTATATCCGCCTCTCTTCTCCCTTGAAAACCTCGATCCTCCTCCGGACGATGTCAGAAACTAATCTACCCCAGGCAAAGGACTTGTCTACACAAACCAATGCACCGATAACAAAGGTGACGAGGTATGAACCCCCCAAACCTCCATCACTTCCCACCCCAACCAACACCCCCCACGCAAACGAAGCAGCCAACAAACTAACAGAAATGGACAAACATAGTGCTGTCTCCAACGCCACTGCACAGTCCCCGAAGGAACGGGTTTCTGTCGAGACAGCAATAACCAAACCTGCGATGGGGGGACATACTTCGCCGGATCACCTGTATATCTCCCTCCCCCCCTCTCTCTCTCTATATATAAGCATTACTCCCTCTATCGACCATGTCATGCTTAGCAAACAGAGACTGACGATGACGATAGCCCGCCTGGCCATGTCCGGGGATAAGCTCCATCCAATGCTGTGTGGCATATGAGAACATGTCGAACGGGACCTCGACGGCTTCCTCTACATCTACATCTACCTCGCCAACGTCAACGTCAAACTCCACTTCCACTTCCTCAACGCCGTCTACCTCGTCGCCGACCACGTCAGCGCCAGCGCCAGCTACGCAATCAAAACAAGGCCTCTCAGGATCCCAGATAGGAGGGATAGTCGGTGGTGTTGTTGGCGCGGTGTTCCTCCTCGGGGTTATTGCGTTGTTTCTTTTCTTTCGAAGGCGGAAGGGGCAGGAGGATCTTCCACAGGAGGGTCCGGATGTCCAAGGACCTGTTTCTGGGGCGGATAAGCCGGTGACGGAGGAGGAGGGGGGAGTGGGGAAGGATGTGCCGATGCTTGAGGGGAGGATGAGGCAGGAGATGGATGCGCAGGGTGCCGCGGCATTGCATGAGATGGAAGGGGCAAGTGGACGGGGGATGATTGGGGTTGGTGGTGAGAAGGGGGCTGGTGTGTCGGAGTTGGAGGGGCAGAGGACGGTTGTTGCTGAGTTGGATGGAGCGTCTGTTGTTCGGGGTTCTGGTGGATGAATTGAGATGGTGTTTGGAAGCGGGGATGGAGTGCATTGGCTGCGTGTGTGTGTGTATACCTCTTTTTGTCTTTTTATTTTCTGTGTCTATAATATTTGTTTATGGGGACTTAATGATATATTAGTATGAGTGTGTATGAAAGTTTGCTTGTAGGGCTTGAGTGCTGAGGCATGTGGGTATGATTGTATATACTTAGGTGGTTCATGTTGGGTAAGGGAAAAAATGTGACTACTACTGTTCTCCGTGTCAAAAGTGGGCTTTGACATAGGCCCCGGTATGAAACATTAAATATGAAGCTCTAACATACAGTGCCACTTATTCAAGTGACCCCCCCTTCAATTGCTGGAATCTGCTCAGTTGAGACAAGAAGAAGCATCATTAGTTCTCCACATATACTATACTGGATTCTCATTCCCGTCTTGAAACATGACCAGACGATGTGTCAAATCTAATGCATTATGCGACGCCGACGCTGAAAAATACAAAGCATAAACATATTTACAAACCACAAAACCCTATAGCCTGATGTGATGCTACGTTGCCAGCACTTGATGCCAGCAATGTCTTCTCGCAAAAACAGCGATTATACCATGCATGCACACTCCATCCCTACCATATAAACCGGCTCAGCGAGTGTTTCCGCTGTTATCATATAGAATTGAAAGTTCCAGCCTGGGAACCGAGAAAGCAAAGAAATCGATGGGTTTTCGTGCCACAGCATGACCGTCTCGAGACGCTCAAGCAAGCACACAAGGCATTCGCCATCCAGGAGAGAGGGCGATGAGTTGGCCCTACTTCTCCGCATGACAGGTCTTATTATGAGTTCCTGGGTATCCCCACAAAAATGGACACATCACGTCTTCATCGGAACGGCGACATGCTGCCTGTCCTGCTGTGTTTTCTCCGTAATTTGCTTCACTGTATCAACCCCTGGCTCCTTGTCATCCTTCTTCTCGCCATTAGCGACATAGCTTGGGTGGTCATCCTGAGTTGGTGCCATCACCTGGTGGTATTCGGTTGAATCGTGGTTAGGATGAGCGCCGTCCAATAAGTCCGGATCACCGTTCAACGATGTCAGTCCCCCTTCAATGTCCCGGAGCAGCCGAACAAATTCTTCCGGCACCAAGCCACTTTCCCCGGTCCGCGGGTCCTCCGCAACAAGCCAACCTTGGCCATGCCTGTAAGAGACGAAGATTACTTGGCCCTCTGTCAGGGGAAGTTCGTTTTCGTGTTCCCTAGTGAAGTCGAAAAGTGCAACCGCTTTTCCGTGCATTTCTTCATCCGGACATCCTACGGCAAACTGGAAGTCGCCATTGTACCGATCACCAGCATACCCATCTTCCGATTCATATTCCACGTCAGGGCCATAGCCCGGATAGTTCCCATAGGTCCCCGCATATGAGTATCGGCTCTCATTTACCGGGTATGTGACGTACTCGCCGCCAGGGCCGTCATCTATTTCATCTTCGTCGTTCACATAGTATGTTTCGCTACCATCCGCGTTCGTGCTGACATACATCCCGCGATCAGTATCTCCCAAATAGTCTGTGGCCTCCTGGCGACTAGGGCTCCTTTTTCGCCCACCATTCAGGTCCGTGCCCGTAGACTTGTTCTTCCGATGGCGAGGTGCAGAAAACACCGGACTATGGAGGTCTTCATCCTCGCTATATGGTGGACCGTCACCGAACGACATAGCAGGGAGTTGTTGGTGTCCGTAGCTGTGGTCGGTGCTCCATGGCCCAGTTGACCACTGTCCCCGCGAGCTATCCCACGGAGCCGGAGGGTCGGACAGGCGTCGCTGCTCACTCACCGGGGTTGACACCCCAGACGCACGTGGTGGCAATGGACCGTAGTGTAGAGGATGGATTGATGGGTATGCGAAATCTCGCACTAGAGCATACGGCAAGCTGGAATGGAAGACGGGGAAAACATGCGAACCGGGACGCGACCGGTTTTTAGAGGCAAGGGAAACGTTGGAAAGCGTGGAAAGACGGTCTTTCGCATACGAGGATGATCGCTGACGAATGGGTCGCTTGACAGTGGCGTCCGTGACGATGGGAGGCAAGACCGCTAAATTGGACGCAGAATCATCCTGCTGCGATGGAGGTGGCGATGCCGTAGAAGTCATAGTTGTGGTCATGGATCTTCTCGGGGAAGAACCAGCGCTGAGAACGATTGTGTCAGAGATTCGAGATGGTGTAAGAGAATTCGGATGTGATCGCTAGGGCAAATTTCGAAACATTTACACCCTAGTTTGGCATTGCGATCGTCCACCCGCGACTCTACTATAGCTCGGGGCAGAAGAATGCCTCTTGTCAACAAGCAGATGAAAGATGATCTTCACCAAATAAAGGGATGGGCCAAAGGAACGACACCGAAGGGAGCATGCGACTCGGAGGGGCACTGGCGAACTCCTTGCGTGCAAGCACGACCCGGGCTGGTGCTGCTATACTGTGGGGGCTGCGCCGGAGAGGTCTATACCGGGACACAGAGACAAGAGTCACAAAAAGTAGTAGTAGACGCCAAGGGCACGATGCGGACTCAATGGGTCTGTTGATACACGCCTACAGGAACAGACAATCGGCGGTAGGTGAGAGCGCGGCTATTGATCGTGAACCACCTCGGTATGGTTCGAAGAGTAACGTTCCTTTCGATGGTGGAATAAAAATTAAAGGAACCTCCGAATCAGCGACAGGATTCGAGAGAGGGGGTTCAGTGATGTGGTGACCAATAACCAGTGGGTGCTGCAAAATATGCAGTTTCGAGCGTTTCGTCCCGCGCGTGCTGGTTGAGAGTAAAATGGAGGTTCTAATTATAGCAGCAGAGCAAAGCGCCGCTGTCAATGATGGCGACTATGGACGAAGTATCTATGGCGCAAACTGAATAGGGGAGCGTTAAACAAGAAAACTAAAAGTGTGTAAAGGAGTATGTGCATGGCAAGGCCTGCAGAAGAGGATAGGATAGGAAATTGGACGGTGGAGGAGGGACCCAGCGTAGGAGTGGCTTGTCGGAGATTACTTACGCTTGAAGACTGGCCTTGAAGCGTTAAGGATCAACGAGGCGCAGTCGGCTGCGTTGTGGAGTTCTGCTGCCACTGGGAGATTAAAAATTATTCGCTCACCGGGGCACCGGCAGACGCAGGGAAATAGCTGCAGGGCAAACAAGCAATCTGACCGAGGGTCTGAACAGCTCAACTGGACGTTTGGATGCCAATTGTAATCGCAATGCCCATGGCCACCAGCTTAGAGGCTTAGTTTTATTTTCTGCTTCGATGCGGGCACGTGCACGTGACACCAGCTTAGCGTGTTTCAGAGTCAAGTGCCTTGAACCATTCCTGATTGGTCTCCGAATGCCTCAGGTACATACTATGGGCAGTACGTACAGACATACATTTACCAACCTCCTCGCTTCGATATTCAAGTGGCTGTCACCACCTTACCTTTGAAGACGAGAGAAAGTAAGGGAGCGAGTTTGATATTGGTTTTTTACGGCTGGGTAACATTTTCCTTCTTTCTGGAACCAAAACAACTTTCGTTAACCAAAGATGGTTTCATTTATATTGCAAAATATCACATTCTTTCGATTACAAGTACCATTGTACGTATGTCGGATGGGGAAATAGTTAAAATGGATACCATTGCATTCAAGTGCTCTAATAGGTCAGGCCTGCCTGACCGGGTCTTGGTTATAGAGATATTTAGTCTATATTCTTTGTTCCATACCGATCGCTTGTCCAAAGGACCAGAATCGCCAACCACCAACAGAAGCTGAAACTCCAAATCAAGCCGCAAATATTTAACTGCAAGGGACACTTTCTGCATTTCTCTTTACTATGGGCTCGCACTAGCAGAACACCCAGGAAATACAGTCTTCATCATTGTCACGAAGGATGTTATTGTTGCTATCCTTCGTGGACCCATTGGGTCTTGGACAAGCGACGTGGGAGTCGCTTCCACGATAGGTGAAGACCAAGAGCTGCTGGATCTGATGACTGCTTGCGAAGACTTTGACGCAGTAGGCCTAGGACCGCTGGGTGTCATTGAGACTCCAGCTATAGGCGAGCTTTGTGCAGAGCCAGAAGAAGCGCTAGAACCAAAGATGTCCGCAAGCTGGGCTGGGATGGCAGCATTATTCAAGGATTGATCCTGGACATAACTTGCCACCACATGCGACTGAGCCCCTGTATTGGCTACCACATCAACATCAATGCAGGTGGTGTATATTTCCTGCTTTCCTTTGGGCAAGTTTGGGTCCACGCCAGGAAGTGTAGGCCAGTCCCAGACCCAGTAAAGAGTATATGGCTTCCCGGATGGTGCATTGGATGGCAGTGCAATATCTGACTGACACCATAAATTGTCACCCATTAACTGATCTGCGGTATGAGGGAATTCCGATTGGCGTTGTTTTGAAATACTGTCGCCGTTAACTTGATAGCAGCGGCCATCGTCGAAGTTTCGCGTTGCCAGGAGAACACCGCGTTTGTCACCTCCGGTACCCTCTTTATTCCATATCTTGTGCACGTCCATTATCTTCTCATTTTCCTTTGGTTCTGTTGTTCCGTATACGTATACTGTCCCACGATTTTCAGGCTTTCCCAGCTGATTCCCGGGCAGTGTGACATGGCCGTTTTCCTGGTACCGGAGGGCAATGGCAGCGCCAGCGCTTGCCTGCAGTCTTGGACTCCCTTCGGACTGCACTTGCTGCTGTTGGGTATCCTTACACAGCAAATCAGTTGGGAGTATCTCATTGCGACCATCTGGGACCAAATATTGCATCTTTGTGTCGCTGTATCCGGGGTTAGAGCGAAGGACGTTCCCTCTTGGATACCCTGGAGAGCCGACAAAGGTGCCATTCGGTGCGATAACCATGAGCTGTTCAACCCATGAGTGAGCGACGACCGTTGGGGTCAGGACGAGGAGAGAAAGCAGCCCCAGGCCGCTTTTCCAGGTAGTGGGCTTGAAGTCCATGCTTTGGATGCTTCTTTGTAGTTGTTGTTGGCTTAGATTTTAGAAAAGGAATGTAATAAATACCGCCAGCGGAGTATATGGATCTCAGAACAAGTCTAGGCCATGAATTAGTGAGAATATATTGAGCGACTAGGGAATACCAACACGGCTTAAATACTCATAATGCCTTAGGATTCTCTTTCTTTTCCGGAATTCCCTTTGTTTTCATCAGATACAATAGGATTATTTTGGAGAAACAAAGCAATCAATTTCCTGGATATGCCTTCAAAGGGGGGGCAATGCCGAGCATTCAACAATGAGACATGGGGAATCGGGTATTCACCGAAGGGTATTGACTTTAAATAGACAGAAATGACAGCATTCTTTGGGGAACCCTCCTCTGGCCTGCCAATGAGAATCCTCAGATAGGTTTCCATCAATCAATAGAAGTGGAATGTAGGGACCCTTGCGGTGCCCACAAGAAGGCACTCGAAACAGAACGGACAAGGAGAGTTCTATAGAAATATCAATAGTAACAGCAGGCCCCTAAGCGGCGCCAAATAATTAGAAACTTGACAGAAAGCGTGACGCAGATAACCACAGCCAACGAATAGGTTCTTCGACGTCATCGTTCAGGCACAATCTGCTTCTCGATGTGTTACGAAAGTATGCAAATCAGGCACCCCTTGTCCATTAATCGGCCTTATTCAGGGATCTATCAAATTGAACCAACACGATAGGGTATCCTGGAGTCTCAAGGGCTCTTAGACCCGTTCCATTTTGCGCAACATTCCTACAAATAGTCGCGGCGCTTACCTGCATCAGTTGAGGCTCCCATGGTCTCGTGAGCCTGCGCATGATAACATGGTAATCCCAGTGTTGCAGAAAGACAAACACTGGGAACATGCGACATCACTCATTGGCCATGGTCATGTACGGTGGCGCTAAGATCGAAGACCTTCACTGAGATCTAGGGGGATTGACGCTTTAAGGCGACACAGTCCGTCCGTTGCCAAATCTGAAACAGAGTTAGACACCTGTAGACTCTATTGAGATGCAGGGAAGACTTAGGGTATAACTGCAGACATTGGGTGTCCAAGCGCCGAGACATATTACTAGTAGCAAGACATCTCTTCAGCCCCACTTTAGAGGAAACGGCGCGAATGGAAACAATGCAACCTGCCTTGACAGCCACACGACAGATACGTCTTCAGAAGCTGGCTTAGAGTTAAAAATAATGCAATCTAATGCTCTGTCGATCTATACTAGTAATAGTAGTAGGGAGTCTATATAATCCTGTCGATGCCGGATGTAGGTCTAATCTTCACCAGGTCTTTCCTAGTAAAGAAAGACCTCACACACATGGAATCTGATGGATAGCGTCTGCTTGAGCCCGATCCGGCATCGGTGCTAAAAGTCCTCGTTCGGCCTCGCATTCCTTTCCAAGGTGCTTGGCGTGGACAAAATTCTCCACAAAAAATTCGGTATTCATTGTTTTGGTAGTCTCCGGCTCGCTTGTTTCTCTCGATCAATTGGTCCCCAAGTCAGACGCGTCTTTTCGACCCCATCAGTGTATCCAGATGGTTCCATTGTCTATGACCAACTGCTATTGTTCATCCCGCGGCACAATCGTAGAGAGTGACATGGCACAATGACTGATGAATTTGTTGTACCAACCGAAGTTGATTCGTATGCAACTCCAGTCCAATTGAGAAGGCCAGCCATCTTTTACGGACCTTTGCCTCGTATCTGGGATCAGCTGGCTCTGTTATTTTTCTGCCAACCTCCGGTTAGGGCCTCCAGCTTCATTTTCGTCTTCCATTAAGTGACCCGAGTTCTTCCTTGTAGTGCAATACCCGAATAGACCAGGCATCTAAATTCAAAACGGAAGAATTACCACTTCGATGGGGGTCGTCACTTTTCATCTGGACCATCTAGGAGGAATGATTGGAGGGAGATGAAGAGATTGATTAGATGAGAATGTGGGTATCGCGTTATCTCCGACGGATCAAGACTCCTCAAGTGGATTGCAAAGGACGGAGTAATTTATTGTTATATAATATACACAAATCAAGCCCTTGGCTTTGTGTCCACTTGGTTAAACCGTCCCACTGGAACCCGCCATGGAGAGGACTGGGAGTCTGGGAGACAGGCTTGAAGGTCGTTTAGTGGTGACTTTGCTGGGATTACCATGGCAAAAGGGCGGAACCGTCTTTTCAGTTACATAAAATTTGGCTCTCACAGGTGCCAAGGTAGCCAAAGGTTGACATCAAACATGGGAATGGGGGTGTATAACTTTTATTTTATTTTGCTTATTGAGGTCATGGGTTTATTTTGGATATCCCTTGCGTCTCTCAAGGAAAACGGCATAGTATAGTATCTAGGATGGCATATCCATGATGTATGGATCTACAGACTTTGAACCCTATAAGCGACTTGCGTATATGAATGGTCAAACGCCTGTTTTCGGTTCAGAACTCCGGCCCTTAACTGGTTTTCTATCCAAGGGACGCTGGGACTTATGGTGGGACAAACGATTCATAGGCAATGTCAGCCATTGGGCTTGTGTTTCCAGCTCATTGCGATCGGGACAGAACCCTGCTTTTTTTTTTTGGATGAACTGGGGAGACGGCATACTGTTAGGTATGCAATGATTCTGCGAGGGGTAAGAACCTTGCCCTATAGTAGTATAGTCGATGACCCGGTGTACTTAATCTTTTTGGGAAGAGAAGAGGCCAGAAACAAAGGAAAAGAGGAGCTTCACTGAATGGTATCCTCTGACCTCAACATGACCCTCTCAGGGTTATAAAAGTCACTAGATCCGTTGAGTCTGGGTGGTATTCGGTGGGTTCCCGATAAGCCGGTGGCCAATAAAAGAACCACCCAAACTACTGTAGACTAAAGAGGGAATTCTCAGCTCCCGTCTTACTTTACCACCTTTGGGGGACAATTTCTTATATTATCTCTCCGCCATTTCCTCACGCATTTTCTGTCTTTCTTTCTTTCTCATTTTTTTTTATCTTCCCCTCTTCCCCTCCGACTTATTCTGTCTACCTTTCAAACCAACCTTCTTCAACAGGGGGGAAGTTTTGAATCTTATTACCTACCACCAACTACTCTGGTACTTCCATGTATTGAGGGTAATATATCCGCCCGACTCCATCCCCATTGGCTACGGTTTTCCATCGGCGGCGAAAACCCCCGGGTTTACTTAATTCCAGCACGCGTTTTGTGTGGTCCAACTGAAGCTGGTCCCAACTTTCAACCCTTCAGGGGCCGAGTCTAGAAAGAATTCCCCAGTTGGGAAGCGGAATTGGAGTGTGACATCCTTTTTATCTGAAAATACATTTCGCATTGGATAGGGCTCCCTCTCTCTCAATTGTTAATTAGATACGTTGGTGCCGTGATCCACCGGACCCTTTCCCCTAAAAAGTTGTACGGAATAAATAGCTGACCGCTGCCTATCCTTTTTTGCCTCTAGAGCCCCAACAAACCCGCGACCGACCCCCTTTCCTTCTCCCTCCATGCAATTGTCTGACGGTTGTGGAGAAATTTTCACCACTGGGACAACCCGTCTATACTAGGCTTGAGTGAAGTCTGAGACAAGTCGGGCGGTCTATCCTGCGGAGAACGTCTTTCCCTTGCGGACCGTCGATTTAGTAGAACTTCTCTCAAGACGAGGCCCTCACCGCCCTCTCTGTTTCGTCAAAATTGTTGCCTGCGACCACACCCAAGATGGCGGCAACTTTGATCCCTCGAAAATGGCGTGCAACGGACGCTGAGGGTGACGCCCAACCGAGCTGGCTAAAGCGCCAGGTCACCGGCGGCTTGCAATCTATATCCCGCCGGGCATGTGCTCATCCGATCCACACAATCGTCGTGGTCGCCTTGCTCGCTAGTACAACTTACGTCGGTTTGATCGAGGGGAGCATATTTGACAGTATTAGGAACTCTAAGAATGTCGCTGGTCAGGTCGACGTGGACACACTCCTCCAGGGTGGCAGGAATCTTCGCCTGGGAGAAAGCACGTCCTGGAAATGGCAGGTCGAAGATGCCCTGAACCCCGTGGATGTCGAGGTAAGAATCCTTTTCCGCCGGCAACACACGCGTTTGAATGCTCATTGTATCCCTGGACTAGGCGGCTCAGCATCTCGCATTGACCACCTTTGTCTTCCCGGATTCTACTAGGTCTGATGCTACTGCTCCCATGGCCGATGAAGTTCCAGTTCCCGCCAACGCTTCTGCACAACAAGTTCCTCATACTCCAAATCTGTTCTCTCCGTTTTCTCATGATTCGTCTCTCGCGTTCACTCTCCCGTATGCTCAGGTTTCTCAGTTCCTGAAAGCGGTGCAGGAGATTCCCGACTCCTCGGCCGACGAGGATGTTGGTGAACAAAAGAAGTGGATTATGCGGGCGGCCCGTGGGCCCGCCACCGGACCCAGGACAGTTAAACTCTGGCTTACAGATGCATGGAGTTCTTTCGTGGATCTGATCAAGGTACTGCCCCTTGGCCCTCAATACTCGTGTTGTTGCTTACCCACATCAGCATGCCGAAACAATTGATATTGTCATTATGACTCTGGGCTACCTGTCGATGCATCTGAGCTTCGTCTCCCTCTTCTTCTCCATGAGACGCTTGGGCTCGAAGTTTTGGCTTGCGGGCACGGTTCTTCTGACTGGCGCTTTCGCATTTCTGTTTGGCCTCCTCGTTACGACTAAACTCGGTGTTCCCATCAACGTGCTCCTCCTGTCGGAAGGACTCCCGTTCCTCGTCGTCACTATTGGGTTCGAAAAGCCGATTATCCTGACTCGAGCTGTGCTCAACGCTTCGGCTGACAACAAGCGCCGAGGTGCTGCTGCTCCTTCCAGCCCAGCGAACCCGACCACTGCGATATCCATCCAAGACTCGATCCAAACCGCAATCAGGGAACAGGGCTTCGAGATTGTCCGGGACTACTGTATTGAGATTGCTATCCTCGTTGCTGGCGCTGCTTCAGGGGTGCAAGGCGGCTTGAAACAGTTCTGCTTCCTGGCTGCTTGGATTTTGTTCTTCGACTGCCTCCTGCTGTTTACATTCTATACGACTATTCTTTGCATCAAGCTTGAAATCACTCGTATCAAGCGTCACATTGCGCTCCGTAAAGCTTTGGAAGAGGATGGTATTACGCACCGTGTCGCCGAAAATGTGGCCTCGAACAGTGATTGGCCTCAGGCTGGCTCGGAAAACAGCGACACCAGCATCTTCGGAAGGAAAATCAAGTCGAGCAATGTGCGCCGTTTTAAGATTCTCATGGTTGGAGGTTTCGTTTTGATTAATGTGGTCAACTTATCTGCCATTCCTTTCCGGAATTCCGCTCTGGGCCCTATTCCGTTGCTCTCCCGGGTATCCAACGTGCTCGCGCCCACACCGATTGACCCATTTAAGGTCGCTGAAAACGGTCTTGATTCGATCTACGTGACTGCGAAGAGCCAGATGACGGAAACTGTTGTGACTGTCATCCCACCAATCAAGTACAAACTCGAATATCCTTCAGTCCATTATGCTGCGCCAGGAGATAGCCAATCCTTTGACATTGAATACACTGATCAACTATTGGATGCTGTTGGTGGACGCGTGATTGAAAGTTTACTGAAGAGCGTCGAAGACCCGGTCATCAGCAAATGGATTATTGCTGCGCTCACCCTGAGCATCGTTCTCAATGGTTACCTTT